AAATACCCTGACCGTATGTGTACAAGCGGAAACTTCGTTTCCGCTAATACCCAACGGATCAGGATATTTTTATTACATATATCCGTTAAGTGGATTTTAACTCATCTAAATGTCTGACATTGCAATGAACACTATATATGTTTTATAATAATTTATAATACATATATTTGGGTTAGGTGCTAAGAAAGGGAATGAAATTGACAAATTTTTTTTTTAAAACAAAATGAAATTGACAAATTTTTTTTTTTTAAAAAAAAATAAAATTTGGGTTGAGCTTAACTAATTCAAAATTAGTCTAGAAGAGATTTTCACTTAAGGAACAAATGCTGTTATTTTAATAAAATTTTGCAATATAATTTTTTAAAGTTTATTTTCTTATAACTTATTATGGAATTTACACAATATAAAAATCAATTTTCTGCAGCCATATTTTTTTTTTTATCAATTTCGTCCTTTTTTTCAGCACCAAGCCCAATTCTTAATGTTTTTATTTCAAAAAAAAATTTTTGACGTCAGAAATTGTCTTGACTTCCCTTACGTAGTTAAATAAAATAAATTTAATTTCGTTAATGAATATGAAACGATATAAAAGGCTGTTTATTATTCAATTTTATACCCCGAAAGACAAACACTTCTTTAATAGGAAAGGTTAAACAGATAAATCCACTCACCAGGAAATTCACCTACAGCGTCACGTATCTACCCACAATCATTAGGCACATCTCTTCTCTCAAGTACTTCAATAACATCACCTGCTTTAAAACTTGAATCATTTGCCTCTTTTCTCACATAATTAAAGATTGCTATGACAGTCGTGACAACTTTTCCTGATCTGTGTCTTCTTCGATATAATATGATGCCAACAGCTACCAATACGCTAACAAAAATAATGGAGCCTAATACATCACCCACTATTGCACCTATATTGGGCGGAGATGGCTGAGGTGTAGATGATGTGGATGCAGGTGAAGGTGGAGAGGTACTTGTAATTCCATTTTTTCCAAATGGACTTAGTGGAATTCTCAAAATAAAGTTCGTCAATTGTATGTCTTTCGAATCTTTGGTGATGTCTACAATCGCAATTCCTAGTAAATTATTATTATTTATATAGTCGAGTTTTGCATTTAACGATTGATAATTTTCATAGAAACCAACATAGAATTCTGAAGACGAATTAGAGGAGTTTTGCTGTTGGTAAAGGTATGGTTGTTTCGCATTGCTAACAAAGCCATAGGTCCATGCTGACGATGATGAAGTTAAATTTGTAAGACAAGAAGATGGTGATAATAAACTACGTGAACTTTCCCATGACAAGTATGCATATGATGAATTTTTACATAGATCTGAAATTTGTTCATTAGCAAAATGGATATTAATATTTGGGTCATTTACTATTCGAATGTGTTGATTCTCAATATCAGATTCAATACTATTCGAAGAGACATATCCGAAAATGCCACAAGTTTTGAATTATTTACAAAAACATTTCAAGATCCATTCTAGCACTTGCAGACATGTTATTTATATTTAAGATGAAACGCCTAAAATTTAATAAACAGATAAATAAACATTTATATCACTTTTACGTAAAAAAAAAGTTAAAATTTACCTGAATATTTACAAAATCAATGAAATTATAGGCCATATTTATAGTATATTTGCCTGTCGTAAGTATTAAACTCTTACAACTACCAAATAATTTGGCTGCTGTGCTATTTAGGAAACTTGAAAAAATAGAATCAAATCCGGATGGACTGCATGGAAGTTTAAAAAGGATAATCAATATCAATCTACAAGTTAATAAAATGTATATAGTTAATTAATTTATTTAATATATATATGGGTGCCGCAAAGGAAAATCAGGATTCCTCGATTTTTGGATATTTCACTTCACAAGACACGGGCTTACCAGACTGAAAAAATTCAGTGAGGGTAAATTGATGCATAAGGATGAATGAAGGGATACTATAATTATTGGTGACATCAAAAAATCCGAGAAAAGACTGGGATTATAATTTTCATTAAAATTCAAGTTGAATTAGGTATACATCGATCAACAATATTGTGATACCGGAAATTGTGATACCGAAATGCAATAAGTGCAATAAGTGCAATAAATGTAATAAAGTGTAATAAGTTACATTTAAGATCGGAAACGGTATTTCGGATCCGAAGGGGTAGATAAGGAATAAAAGGAGGAAATAACGGATATTAAATAAATACATGTAAATAGTTTAATTAGTTTTAATAGATAAGTCGCATTTGTAAGCGACGAATTTTATATTATAAATAAAGACCGAAATGGCCCTTAGGAGCAGTACGCTTCGTTTGCTTTATTAAATAATAAACAAGTCCCAATACATTGTATCGTCCATAATAAAAACCCTAACACTTTACCCGGCATAAATCCTGTAAAACCCAATAACCATCGTTGTTCGATCGAGTTCTTGTTCACGTGACTTACCCTACTTGCATTCGTTGACCCAAAGTAACCGAAAGCCTTAATCGCCCACTAGCCAAATCTAACACCCTCTTTCGAAAAGGTTACTTATCGTACGTTACGCAAGATATTGAATTGTGGAGCGACAGAGTCGCAATCTTCCTGACCCAACAATATGATGTATCTCGACTATAGATGCAGACATTTGAAGACGTATGATTACGTCCAATTGACGTGTTTTCACGTCAAAAGTGTCATAATGACGTAGGTCGTAGCAACTGACATTTGCCGTAACAGGTAACTTTAGTTACGGCAATATAACTGATTACAGCAAAATAAAAAGTTAATACAAAAAGTTATGGCTCTATAAAAAGTTACGAAGCTTGTCAACCCAAAAACTGTTAAACTGAAGTTGAAAAAGTGGCTGAATTAGAGATGGAAAAAATGCGCATGATATAACATTAAATTTTTTTCTGTATATAGCTGTGAATTTTTGCACTATTTTAAACTTATGATAGTTATGAGTGTTAACAAGAGAAAACCTGCTTGGCAGCACTCATATTAGCATAAGTTAAATTATTTGATCATAATTAGTTGATATATTATTATGCATCTAAAGTGACGATTTATCTAAAGTAGCACCTGGCTAAAATTAAGCACTGAAATTAGATCCTTATGCATGCATTAAGTTATAATTTTAGCCAGGATGTTACTTTAGATATATAAAGTAGCTACTTTAAATAAATCGTTACTTTAGATGTGACATAATAATCACAATAGCCATCTATACTTAATTTTAAAATTTATAACAATAATATATATCTTAATATATTTTAATAAAGATAATATATATTAATTTTTAATCAAAATTTACTTATATACAAACTCTTAATCAGATTTTGCTTTCATATAATTTTAGAGTTATAATTTAACACATGCATTGTACCACATCCGAATTAGATTCTAAGATCAGGTATGATTAGGAAATTCAAAGCAAGCATTTATTTTACCAAAAATCACTTATAACTCCAAATTTCACATATGCAACTACTTTTTGGGTTCTAATAAAAAAAGTTCCTTAGAAGATTTTACTATTGATTTATACTTAATTTATATGAATATTGCAAGAGAAAAACCTAATATCAGGTTTTTAATTATTTTTGGTACAAGACAACTATTTAATTGTTTAGAAACTATTCTGTACAAAATATAATTAAAAAACCTAATATCAGATTTTCCTCTTTATAACACAAATTTATATATATAAAATGCTAATGGGATAAAATGCACATGATTCGAAATTATGTGCATAAATGTACATGAATATTTAATCACACGCATGCATGAAACCTATCTCTAGACTCAACTAATGGTAAGCTGAGCAGGTGGTCAAAGGAACTAAGCAAATTGAACAAGAATTAGTCCAAACTCAAGCTGAATTATATTCTTTACAAAGGCAGTAAGAATTTTAGCAACAATTAGAAAATTTTGAGACATAAATCACTGAAAAGAGCTTCACTAAATTCTGGCACTAATTTAAATAATAATTTAATAGCTTGAGTGCCTAATCCTTTAGGAATTTCTTTGTCTCCACCTCAGATTTCTTTAATAATAGTACAACTAATTTGATAAATTTTTTTTTTGGTCAGTAATAATTTTTTTTTGTCAAAATGCTATAGGTTCACTCTTCAACAAATTGCCGAAGTTGTTTACTGAATTCAGATTTTTGGACAATAAAATAATATTATCAGTTATTATAAACCTGTTAAGATAAAATTGTTTCAGAATATATTAATTCTCATCTTGTTCATTATTACATATTAGAATTCCTTAGATAAATAGCTAATTGCTAAATATAATTAGATGCAAACTAATATGAGCCTTTGAAATAATTGCCCTAAAATATTATTTTATACTTTAGCTAAAATTACTGTATTTTTCTTTTTTTTTAATATTCTTTATATGTAGTAATGGGACTACTGAGTTGTTAAACAATTATTAATTAGTCAATATGTAATAGTTACATAGATTATTTCAAATACTTTGATTAATAAATAAATGTTTGTTGTATTTGACAACTAAATCAGATAAAAAAGCTTTATGTTATTTTATAAATTTTAGAACAAAATTTTAATTTGTTCATTAACCTGAAATCTTCTGATTTTGTCTTGTAAATTTCTTAACTCTTCAGAAATTATATTGCTATTTTTAAGTTTTCAATCTGAAATAGTAATATAATTTGAAGGATTAGATGATTTACAGAATGAAGCCTAAAATGTTTTTGGGTAAGTAGAAATTTTTTTAATTTGTTCCAATTAATAAATTATTATTATGACTACAGACTAACACTAAGGGGTTCTTAAGTATCTCATTCAATGAATCATAGGTAAGTTTTTTGTAATTAAATAAACTGATCAATTTGCCAATTTATTTGATTAATAGTTAATTAAACATTTGTTTTCAATTTATAGTATAAGATGATTGAGAACCTTAATTTATTACAAATAAGAAAACAAATAAAAAGTAATTAGTATATTTTAAATTATATTTTCAAACTGGATCAATACGAGTCTTGAATTTCCGGTTTTAATTAAGATTTCTTTTTTATTGTTATAAGAGATTTCATTATACAATAAACTTGCTTTATAACTAATAAAAATTTCAGAAGTTCACTAGAGAAATGAATATAATAATAAATTATGAAATAATTTTGATAAATATTTAAACAAAATTTTATCATCAATAGCTTTGCCAATCTCACAAGTTTGCCACCTTTTAAAATTCTTATTGAGAAAACCTAACAATCAAATACATTGTCAAAAATAATAATTAGTAATTCTGTATGTATAGGCATAATTTCAGGAAAGTATCTTACTTTATTATAAGTAGGAATTTTTCTATGAAATATGATACAAAGTATAGTTAACATTAATAATTTCAGTAATTGTTAAAAATTGTTATGCAAGCATTTTAATAGCTGCATATGCATATAAATATTTTGGTCAAAATCCCAACAAACCATCCTGACCAAAAAATCTTGGCAACAAATTCTTGGCAAAAAATTCAGCTAATGCTAACTTAACACAGATGAACTTGTCAGAATTTTGGCTTTGTCAAAATTTTATTTCTTGAGATTTGTAAATTCTAATAATGTTTATCATCTTATTTTAATAAAACCATTTAATACATGATATAAGGATATACCTGAGCACTAGTTAAAAATATGAGTGCTGCCAAGGGAAAAAGGCTGTTAGGACTTTTAATATATTTTGTATACAGTTATCCATCTATGAAAAATTTACTATGATGATAAATTTTCCATAGACAGTTGACTATACACAAAATATATTGAAAGTCCGAACAGCCTTTTTCCCTTGGCAGCACTCATATATAGAACATATTTTTCATATGTCTGCGCAGTGTTAGTACTAAATAGCTGTGCCATAATTATTAAGTTAATTATTCAGACTAATTGTTAATAATTATTATTAATTATTAATAATTCAAGAAATTCTATCACTAGCTAGGACAAAAGGGTTACATTATTAAATAATATAAAGATGTATAATATTATACATATTTATAATAAAATGTAATTCAATGATATCAGTATATATTGGGCTGCTTTTGCTGATAAAATTATAAATCATCAACCTTTTTTAAAATTAAATAGAAGTCATAAATCGAATAATTAAAAAAAAAAATGTCTAAACAGTTTCTTATAGTAAAATGCCTTTATGTGAAGATAACAATAAAGCTTTCACATCAACAAGTTCTGGTTCACAACTAAAAAAAATTAAAAAAGATGGTTCTAGCTTTAATGAAGTATAAGATTATATGATTAAGGGCATCCAAGTAAATCTAGGCCACTATAGAGCTATATGTCCTTATTGTAATTTACAATGGCCATAAGGTAAACCAAGTATCTTAAAAGCCCACCTTGCAATTCACTGCCAAAAAGTGCCTAATGATATTTAAAAATATTAGTGTAACAAACTTGCAGAATAAAATAATATTTACACAAGAAATTCATGATCAAATCCCAATTTGCCTGTTGAAATTAATAACCATTATGATGAACTTCTTTTAAAAGCCTGGACAATGGCTAACATCTCATTTGAAGTAGTAGAAAATCTATTTATTAAAAGTCTATTCAAAGCTCACAATCCTGCTTATATATTACTATTATGAACAACACTATCTGGATGATTATTAGATAAAGAATTTGCATGTGTACAAAATACTATTAATGATGAGTTAGAAATTGCAGAGAATCTAACTTTAAGTAAATATATTTTTTATGTAATCACTATGTAATTAAAATCTGAAATTGCTGATTTTTTAAAATTTTATTTTCAAATTGAAAATAAAATTTTAGAAAATCAACAATTCCAAGTTTTAGCTATGCAGTGCTCATATAATATGAATTCAATTTCTTATCTAAAAATATAAAAACATTATTCATAAAGTAAATTATGAATTTTTATTTATATAGTCCTTGACAAATGGACTTCAAAATATAGAAAATCTATATATAATTATATTGTTACAACAATGAAGCGAAAAGAATATTTGATTGCGTTAAAAAATTATTTTTTAGAATCGCATACTAGTAACTTTTTAGCTTTGGAAATTTCAGATATCATCGAACAAATTGGACCAGAAAAATTCTCAGCAGTTGTCATGAATTTGGCATCAAATTGCAGAGCTGCAAGAGAAAAAATACAATAAAAATATCTACATATCTTGAATCTCTGTTGCATTGCTCACACCATCAATTTAATAGCTGTAGATCTGTCAAAGCTTGTCGAAATAAAAGAATTTATTAGCCATTATAGAAAATTGACAAGATTCTTTAATAAGTCTCCTCAAAAAATAGCATTACTATAGCAAGAATTAGCCAATATGAAAATTACTTCTGAAGGGCTAGTATCATGGTGCCTAACCTGCTAAGAGTTATTATACAATATGGTAAATTCTATATTAGTTGCATGACCAGTATTTGACTGAGTACATATTTTTTTTAAAAAATATATATATATAATATTTTATACAGTATATGGTAAAGTTGCTTATCATTATTAATACTAAATATGTTAATAATGTATATGTCTTTTTTTAGATATTACTTGAACATTCAAGAATAATTGTAAATGCAGAAATTTTTAGCTTATTATATAATAATGACTTTTTTACCAAATGTAGACAAATTCATTCTATTTGAAAGCCAATAAAGACTTATATAGATGTTTTAGAAAGTTGTTTTGCATCATTGGCTGATTGTTACATTTTTATGATTAAGTTGGTAATTGCAATCTATCAAATACCTGAATCAATTCCATTTAAATCTGCTGTAATCCAAGTATTTAACAAATGCTAGAAAGAATTTCAGAATCTATATTATTTACTGTATTATTACCTTCATCCTTTATATCATAGTACTTTTTAGCATTGAATACTAAAACAATGAAAATATAAGCATTTTTTTTAATATATGCACTATATTTTTTTTTTAGGAACAGGACTTAAGAATGAAGCATTTCGTAATATGGCCATAACTGCCTCTACTTTATAGAAGAATTCAAAGCATTCTGAACAAGAGTGTAAAGAATTAATCTCTCAATTTTATTATTATAATGCAAAAAAAAAACTATATGATTTACCATATATCTAGGGTCTTAATACTCCAATGTTATGGTGGAAGTCTTTGAAAAACTGGTGATGTTATCTTTTAAAGCTTGCATGCATACTTTTCAGTGTCTTACTATTCCAAGTTGGCTGCAAGCAAAGTTTCTCAGTTCTTAAATGGTTTATTGGAGAAAAGTGTCTACATCTTGATAGCAAAAAACTTGAAGAAATAGCAAAGATAAGGTTATTTTATATGACTAATATATAGAAAGAACTTTCTCATTTTGAAGTTGAATTTTCTGAATCCAAATTGCATGATATGATAAATCTTGCATCAATAAATAGTTATATTAAAGTTGAAGAGAAAATAGATAAAAGTACTAATTTATTTGATAATAATTAAAATATTCCAACTGCTACTAACTTAATTTTGGAAGATATCATAAATTTAAGAGACCCAATCTTTTAAGATAATAATGTTATACTATACAAAATTTCTACTAATGATCTAAGTAATAATATTAAAAACAGTATCAATATGGATTTTAATCTCAAAAACCTTGTTGATACTATTTTAAATGATGAATTAGACAACTAAGTATAATTAAATATTTCTCAATATGTTGGTTATTCGATCTTTAATTGCTTCTAATAAATTGTTTTTTTTTTGTAATCAGCAGGTAAAAGGATTGCTTGCAAAAATTATTGAAAAAACTATTTTAAATATAGTAGGTATAATTAAAGTTAGTTTTCAGATGTTCTAAAAGTTTTAAGCTTATAAAATAAATCATAATTTCAAATGTTTAATATTAATTAAATTTTATTTTTTTGAATAACAAGTAAAAACAAATAACATTATTAATTTCAGACATTATTAATACAAGGTGATTATATTTTTGAAGCAGCCCTATCTGAAAACCCTATCTGAAAATATCAAGACTTTGCCAACCTTAAGTATAATTGAATATTAGTTATTTGATCTTTAATGCATCTAATAAATTGTTTTTTATAATCAGGATTGCTTGCAGAAAGTCATTGAAAACTTATTAAAACATCATGAAATCACTTATTTTTATCTTATATACAGGTCAAATATGTAATGCATTTATATTAGCATTAAGGTATTGAGAGTACAAATTCTCTGCAAAATTTTTTTATACAAAAATTTGAATTTTTATACTGTACTACAAATAAAACAAAAAATAACCATTTTTTTGCTTTATACAAATAATTCTATAATATATACTCACTTACTGTATTTTTCAGTAACTTTATCACAAAAACTATTTTATATATGAGTAGTGCTAAGAGAAGTTATAACTTCATTTAATGATAACATAATTGATTTTGACAATATTATTTATTCCTATAAATTTAATAGATAAATAGAAAAATCATTAATTGAGTCCATATAATTTGAGAAATTTACTATTTGAAGATCCTCTCAATTATATTTGATTTTTTTTTTTTTTTTTTTTAAGAGAGGTCTTTTCTCTAGTCCTTTATTTCAGTAATATATAATTAAGTACAACTAGTACAAATTGATATATTAAACTAAGAGAGTAGAGGTTAGGACTACTTTACCCTCAACCTATTCTTAGCTAGAATAGTTAAAAGACCTCTAGTCTATGGATAGATAGTAGGAGATGTTTGGTTTAAGTATGTATATCTATTAAACCATAAGGTATATTGCCTATCTATTGACATTAATAATGTATAATCTGGGTTAGTAGTAGTAATAATTGGTGCAGATGAAATCTAATATTGAATATATTTTCTACTCAGTTTCCATATATACTTGTGTATCTTTTTTGTAATTCAGTGATAGATGTTTGATAGTAATTTCTTTTTTAGTAAACCTATTTCAAGTAAATTATTTGTTATAATTCTAATTAGGATTTGTTGGTCTATGTAGATGTTTTGTATTTTTGAACTAAGTTTGTTGATATTGTTGTTTCGATTTCATTATTTTTGCAAACTTTTGTTATTGCTTCTTTTATTATTTCTTTCAATTCTATTTGATTGTATGAGCAGGTAAGCATATGGACTATGTCTTTTAGTATGTTTGGACACTTTGCACAGTATGGGTTGGTATGAGTTTTTGGAGTTTTTTTATAAAGGTTAAGGTGTGTTAGTAGTCTGAGGTTAAGATTTTGATTTTGAATGTTTTTAAAGTTGATTTTGTAGGATCAGTATTTCGGCTAAGGAGTTTGTTTTTGAAATTGAGATATTTAAATGTAAGTTTTCAATTAATGTTTGGAAGATTGTCTGAAATATGTTTAATATATTTTTGATTATTCCATGTGATGATTGCTTCTGCTTTTTGTAATGTTTTAGGTATTTGATGAATAGCATATGTAGTTGGTGTATTCATTATGAAGGGAGTAAAGCTAGTGTTTAGTACTGTATTGGGTAGCAGGTCTATATGGAATTGGCAGAAGGCATTGTTTATGCTAATTTTTTTTTCTGTTAGGTTGATTTTAATTTTTAAGTTTTTTGCGTTGATTATAGTATTAAGAAGGATGATAATGTTGTTAAAAGGGGTTTTCCTTAGTTTATGTTTCTGTTCTGTTAACATCATGAGCATTGTTGAAATTTTGTCAAAAATGTTGCTTTTATCAGTTAATATTTGAATTTTGTTTCTTCTGTTATTACTATAAGGATTATTGCAAGCATTGTAAACATTATGTAATCAAAAGAAGGAAAGGTTTGGTTGGTACAATGCCATGTATGGTCATTATGCTAAAATGATAGTTGAGCATAAGGAGTATTGTATCTGTTTGTTTTCTTAAAAGAAGTTGTGAGTTTGAGGTTTAGTTCTTTTGGGAATGAACTTGTCATATATAATTTCCATATTTCTTTTTGGTTATTTGTGAAGGTTTGTAGAAGTTGATAATTAGAAGTAATTTTTTGTAGCTTTGTTTAGATTGTATAGTTGTTTGATGGAAATATAAACAATTAAGATTTGCATGGATTCATTTGTGGCAATCAACTTGGATTTTGAAGGTTTGGTGTATAAGATTAGTAAAGTAGCAATAGGTTGTTTTAAATTTTGGGTTTTTGATTTGAAATCCAAGATATGATATTAGTTGGTGATCGTTTAATGGATGAGTATTGTAGTGTTTGATTTTGGCTTGATTATTGATGATACTTGTTAATTTTCCAAATTGTTGTGATTTTGTAATTACCCATTGTGGAGTTGTAATGTTAATTTTTATGAAGATATATAGGTTGAGGTAGTTTAGTATTGTAGATGGATTTGTTAGCAAAGTTATATGGTCTGTGATTGCTTTGAACCATTTTGGGACTTTGCCTCTTGGTATTTTTTATATGTTATAATGAAAAGATATCCAATCTAGGATGTTATAGTTTGTGTAGTCAAGAAATTGCTCAATACAAGTTATGTTGTAGTTATTTAATTTTTCTTTTATTGCATATAGTTGTTTCATTGATTGAAGAATTTGGTTAATAGATATGCCCTTTGTTTGTTTGGAAATAGGCCATAGGTTGGTTGTACATTCTAGTTAGATATTTAGTAAATAAAGTATGAATATCATTTGGGCTGTGTTTGTTTTAACTTCATTTGTAGTTAATGTAGGTTGTTCGAGTAAGATTAATTTGTTTGAATTGGCTGCATTTTGGATTTGTTGTAATCAGATTTTTAAACTGTAAGTATCAAAATCAGATAAGTTAATGCTTCTATCTAATGTATGAATTTGTTGCTGTTGTTGAACATTGTAAAGTGTATTCAGAGCATATATATCAGGATAGTATAGGGTGGAGTTAGGAGTAGACCACACTAGTCTGGCTTTTTGTTTGACAATATTTGTATATAGGTTGATAATAGAGTTGCAAGAGCATTTTGATAAATAAGTACTTTGTATCTGATATGCTGTGTATGTAAGAATTACATTATTGATAATGTAAATAGCCTGTTTGTCGGTTATTTTAGCAAATTTGATTTTGTTTAAATTGGAAATAATGTCTTTGATAAGGAATTTTTTTGTGGATTGAAGAGATAGATCTTGAATAAGCCATGCTTCTAGATGTCTGAATATTGCTTTTTGTTGAATATTTGCTATATTCTTTTTCTGAAATATTATATTAGTATTGGGATCTGAGTCATTAGTTACTAGTGTTGATTTGTAAGTGTTGACTTTGATATTGGCATAGGAAAGGAAGAAATTGACTGTTTTTAGTATGTTTTGTAACTTTTGTTTATCTTTGGCTATCCATATTGTATTATCTATATATGCTACTACAGAAGTATGTATTAATATAGTAGAAGAATGTGTATAAGTTTTAAGTTGATAATCTTGATATGTTGTATTAATTCAGTTAATGAGCAGATCATAGTAGATCCTTCATAGAATTGGAAAAAAAGTCTCTCCTTGATCGATTCTATCTTGTACAATATAAGGTTGTGTTAGTCCATTCTTGTAATGACAGAATTTTGTCTGTTGTTGAAAAGATGATTTAGTAAGTTTATAATTGGGAAAGAAATATAGATTCATTGAAGTGTCTTGATTAGTAGAGAGATGTGTACTGTATCATAGACTTTGGACATGTCTTGTGCTAAGATCCAGTATTTGTTTTTTGTTATATTAACATGCTCTATTATATGTGAAATAGTTTGAATAGGTTGAAGAGTAAAGGTAAATGGAAGTGCCACATTGTTATTTGGATTTAGAATTGAATGTTAAGTAAGAATTTTATTTAGGCGATAGGTAATTATTTTGGTAAAAATTTTTCAGGTATATTCAATTAATATGATCAGTTGAGTGTATAAAAGATTATTATTATAATGTTGTTTTTTTGAAATAGTCCAAATGGTTGCATGTCTCCAACTACTTGGTGTTTTTTTGATTGTTAGATATGCATTGAAGATTTGGAAAAGAATCTGTTTTGCTGATGTTGGAAGATGTTGAATCATTTCATTAGATATTCCTGAAGGGCCGATGGCTTTGTGTAGAGGTGAAGATGTTATAGTTTCTGTTAATTCAGAGATTAATATTGATTGTAACAAGTCATTGTATATATTGAAGTTAATATTTGGTAAAGGTTGAAGAAACTGTGTCTATTCATGTTCAAAATTAGGGTTTGTTGGATTGTGTTTAGTCCAGTTGTTAAAGTGTTCTTTTGTTACTTGTTTTATTTCTTCTGAATTATTAATTATTTTATCTGATGTTATGATTTTGTCAAAGGAGACTTGGTCTTAGTTGCATTTAAGTATACTGTTTATTATGTGTGATGTGTTTGATTCCATGTTATTATATCTTCATTGTATATAGAAATTTATTTTTTCTTTTTGTGCATTTTGGATTTCTAGACTGCGAGCTTTCCATAAGGTTTTTTAAAGTTGCTTTACAGTTTGCTA